GACGTCACAGGAAAGATGGCAGCGCCCATGCAGCGGCTGGCCCCAGCTGGGCCGGAGCTTGTCGGATGCTTTGTTGGTTGTCGTTCGTCTCGGCGAGTTGATTTCAGACGCGGAAGCCGTCATATGAGGCCGGTCGAAAGCGAGTTCAGAGTTCAGCGTGGTGTTTGACCTAGGTATAACGTGAAAATACGGAGAAACGGTGTGCATTTCGCTGGTGACCGACCGGGATATTGCCAAGGAAGAGACAATCTGACCTACGTTGCTCGGACCTCGGATTGATTCGGATACCGCTAGGATAAAATTTAAGGCGACGTTTCTGTGCTCTCGTTGACCATCGGAATCTTCGAGGTTTGCAGTGAAGCCTGTGCAATATATTTGGATACACAGTTTAGCGACGGAAATTGCCTGAGTCGTGCTTGGCGGTGTGCAATCGCGGTGCAGCTTCGATCGAATGACCGAGGGCTCACTTCGGTTGTGCGGCGCACCGGAACACTGCCTTGAAGCTGGTAGTTTTCGTGCCGTGCTGAATGATGCTGTGCTGCTTACAAATTGTTCCGGCGTAGAAGTGCACTTTCACGGAGCACAGGTGTGCGGCGCACCGAAGAGCTGCCTTCAAGCTGGTAGTTCCTGTGCCATGCTTTAGGTGATGCTGTGCTGCTTCCGAAATTGTTCCGGCGTAGACTTGCACTTTCACGGAGCACAGGTGTTGCAGTTGGTATTGATCCCGCTGGTCTGTCGCACGTTTCGTCAACACAAACGTTTCATCCACACTCGTTACGCGAATTGCAAGCTGTCCGGACATTTCACCGAGCGTGTTACGTACCCAGCTCACGCCGCTTTGTGACAACAGTCTGCAGTGGCTCATTACCAGAAAAGTGGTCCCACATCCATTTCAGTTCAGTTCGTCCACCGCAGTCGCCAAACCCCGAAGGAGAGGATTTATTCGGACAGAATGCCACCAAAGCAATGCAGCTTCTTCAGTGGTCAGGATAGATTCTCTTCTGCTAGTTTTGTTATACTGTCACGGATCCTTGTTCCAGTCCTATCTTCTATCAATATTCACTATTCTGGGACACTGCAGGTCATGCTCAGCTGTAATCGTATGTTCAGGTGGAGGTACTGGGCACTTTACCCGTAGCCCTTCTCTGTGTGAACCCGGCGGCTCTTCAGCCGAGTTACCCGATAATGGGACACGGCTGGCGGACTATTCTGCATCTTATACCCCTGTCGAGCCGTCGGCAAAGTCCTGACCCGAGCCTGACAGAACAACCGCAAGACGACCGAGTACCACAAGGAGTAAGCTCGGAAATACACCACGAAGCACCTGAAATCCGAGCCAGTTGCTGCTACCAGGAAAAACCACCGGAATTCGGTCTCCTGTCAAAAAATCCGAAGCTGACTAAGCCAACAATGACAAACCTGTAGCAGCAAACCGTGTCCCCTCCCACCATTGTTTGCATGCCCGTCGCAAATCACACTCCGACGCTTTTTCATGCAAGCTGTATGAAGACGTCAAGGACTGGATTGAACAATATGACAGTGTCGCCCGCCACATTGGGTGGACAGACAACCAGCTCCTGCAGAACCTATACTTCTCGTGGAAGCAAATGCCGGCGCCGGTCTGAGAACCATGGATCCTCCTTAACGTCATGGGAAGTTGGCAAGATCAAGCTGAAGCGCGCATCCGTCAGCCAACATCAACGAAAGAGAGCCGCATTCTTGATTCTGTCCAGGACACTGCCCCAATGAGAGCGCCACCGCACTCGTGGAGGATGTTTTGCGCTTGATCGAGCGCCCACGCCCACGCCGACCTTGATGCTACAGAAGACAAGAACATAAGAATCCCATGCGCCTCACGTGAGGGACAACACCTTCGGCAGCCTTGTCCGCAACCCCCCAACAACAGTCGAAGTGTTCATATCACTGCTTCCAACATGGAATGTGCACTGCATGCCCGAGCCTGCCACTATGAACAACTTCCCGGCGTCTCGACACTCGAGTTGTCCAGCTACTACTTCGATGCCAGCCTCCCAGGCATCCACGACATCACCCACGACGTTGTCTGGGAGGAGATCAGGAAGCTACTTCCTGCCATCAGTTGCCCGGCTTTTATTTTGATTGCCGAGATTGTTTCGGAACAAGTTTGACGGGTATTTCAACCGAGACGTCTGCGAGCGAAGCGGCATCTGACAAACCAAGGGCAACTTACGCCACAATGGCACGACGACCGCACCGGCTGCCCCTTAGTATTCAATGCCAATTCAATGAGACACTCAAACGCCGAAGCATTCCCGACATCGTGTGTAGGTCTGTGCTCAACAATGTACACCGAGGAAAACTTAGGTGATGCGAATGTGCGACCGAAAACCACTTTGCTACCACTGCATGAAGCCTACCATGTCTACCAAAGCAGCCCGTACCAATGAATTGGTCGGCGAGGGTTCGTGCCAAACGACCCTCGATTACGTCTCGAGGAGCGACCACGGGAGATTAAGGATTACCTTCGGCGACCTTTGTCCCTGATGCCGAAGGTGCTGAATCGAAGATTCTGAATCCCTGATTACCCCCAAAGCTCCTCATGTCCATCACCTCAACAAGAGGTAAGCACGACAAAGCAGGTGAGCGGCGATGCAGTGACAGTGGATTTGGTGTCGGTTGTCGTCCAAGGACAATACCTAAAAATTTGCTGACAGCAATTTTCTGTGTCCACTCCACGAAGCACACAATTTCCAACTTTGAGGGAGAATGCCCCTGAGTGACTTGAAGGAATAGAATGGTTGGTTGCTCTCAAAAATGAACTGCAAGCATCACCAGACTTGGATAGCAAACAAAAATTGTTGCCAGTTTTCAAGTCAACGGTACAGCAAAAGGCACAGGCACGTAAGCAATACATGCCCGAACTTGCTACATTGATGCCGAAAACTACCAGGAAAATTTTCGGATTAGAAGCCAGCCCTGCAGCTTCAGTGCGCATGACGTATGATTACAAGACAGCATCAGTCGGTCAAAGTTGCCACTCGACCAAACTGAACACCGACGTGCCAGGAGCGTCATCCGACAACAAGGTCCACAGGTACTACGACTGAACGCCTGACACGAGACTGTCGCAGAAAGAACTTGTTATGGAACCATTTACTAAGAATCAATAATTTTGTAATCAAGTGGAAATAAACATGTTTGATACACTAACCAGATAAACATATTTCCGCTTGCCTTCGTGCCTTGAGAGTCTACACACCGAGAATTGTGTCCATTGCACGCTCTGGACCTTACGAGGACACTCGCTTCTCTGACGCTTCAATATTAATTAAGGGGTCATGCCAGACTGGCAGACTTCATGCAAGGGGCTGCACTCAATCAACCTTTCCTGAACATGTGGTGCATCCGAAAACCAACTCCAGTGATGTGAAAATGTTATTCATTAATTTATTCCTTCCAGGGGCTTTCGTAGGCATTGCAGAGAGGATACTTAAAACTACACACATGATAATAGCATTAAAGCACACTGCTGTAACTTGTTAATTGGAAAAACAAACACACCTCTGAGCATATAGTTTAATAGTATGTGTTGATGCATTGTTGTATTGCATGACACTTCCTATATGTATGACACAACAGACCCTTTGCAGAACCTTATCAAGCAACACAACCGTCACCATTTTTTTCGGCGCAAAGCACACGAATGGGCCCCAGTTCACGTCGAACGCCAATGCAGCATTCGAGTCCAATAGGTGCTGAGCCGAATTCACAGGGATGGCGGACATAACATTCTTGTCGAACAAATACCCAAAGTATGAAAGCCTGGGGTAATTACAGTAGTAGCTACTGTAATTTGTTTCATCAGAATTTGGCAGATGGCAAAGGCTACGGTCTCGGTGGGTCAATACACACATTGGAGAGAGGCACATGACAGCATATCACCAGAGTGCTCGTCTGCACAGATTTGTCACACACCTTCGCTCCGTCTCTCTGATTGGCTCGAGGGGGCTGTGGCGGTTGGCCTTTTCCAAGTTACGGTGATGCGAAGTATAGACAGCCCACACTTTTAAAAAGAGTCTATTGAAGAGACCGAAAGGAATGGTAGTCAACATTTTTCAACAAGACTGCTCTCCAGGCAAGGGATGAACACAAATATGAATCATGTTATCCAGGTAATTAGAACAATGAAATAATTGACCGACTAATACAATGCACTCTTGATGGAAAAGAGCATAGCTGAAATAAATCCTACAAAACAGAAAAAATGCGCAGTTAATCTGTGCATGCACCAAAACAGTTGTTCTTATAGCAAGTCGAATAGCTTTGAAGCAGGTGCCTGCAACGATTTATTCTTCCCCATACTCAATAAAACGCCAACCTCGTAGCTGAAAATAAGGGTGCACTTCACACTCACACACACACACAAAAAGAAAAAAAGGAAGAAAAGCGATCGAATGTAGAATCGTGGATTAGCACAAAAGGTTAAAATCGCAGGAGCTTCCTCGCTAAAAGTTGCTATGGTTGTTCAGTGACGGAGGGCTGAAACAACTTCCCTTAGGCCCTAACGCGACGTATACATTTCGCGTAGATTCTTAGATAATTCAACGTTCAAACAAAGCTAAGAGAATGCGAAAATTTCATGTTAAAAGCACTCAAAGTTCTATCGATCCTCGGACACATCCCGGAATCCAAGCACCGGTACGGCGATGCAGAGCTGATGCTGTCTCACAGGCGTTAATAACCAGATGATCCAGAGCGATCTTGCGCAAAAACGGTATAAAGTCTCATTCCTTCATATTTTCACATTATACCTGCGTCAGCAAGCACGAAGAAGCCCGAAGTCGTCGGAAAACAGCTGCACATCACGGCTACCGCGCACCGAACAAACTCTCATTCGCCAGCTCTGGGCGCTGCCATCTTACCTGTGACGTCACGGCTCTTGAGGGGTCACGTGACGAGTGGTCACATTTGCGTAAAATATGGCGGCAACCGGGGGGGTGCCACTTCCGAACTTCCGGTTTATCGTTGATGGAGCCTTATCTCCTCCCGACGTGGCTACATCCCCGCGCGTGGGTGTAGACACTCCCTAGAAGGATTCGAAAATATCGTACGTTTCGCACCCGTCCTTTTAATGGTTTCAAAATTGGCGCCATTACCAGCAGTCCGTGCTTGGCGGAGGCGGGCGGCCACCGAAGATAGGCCAGCAACCTCCGCCCACACGGCTCCGTTGTGTTAAAGTGAACTAGTGTCGCGCGCCGTCTCTGTGCTTGACCGAAGCCGCCGCCGGCGCTTGCTTGGTATCGTGCTCGCTGTGCTTCTCGATTTCGTCCGGCATGGTGGTCCGGCATGGACGGACCTTCTTCGGTACGCTGGACGGTGCGCTCCTTCAGTCCTCGCGAGACACCGTCGGCGCTTCCATGAGAAGATCGCAGGTACCGGATCTTTTCGAACCTTTTGAACCTGCGCTGCCTGCTGTGCAGTGGAGGTTTTCTCTAAATATTTTTTTTTAGGCCTAGCAATTCCGTGGTTTCGGGCAGTTTCGTGTTTCCTACCAGCTCGTGGTGATCGGGGGTGACCGGGGTAGGTGGTACGAGCGATGTTTCGCCGGAAAGCTGCGAGCGTGGCCACCGCCGGCTGACAACAGCGGCAGCGCCTGTTTGCTCGCGTACGAGAGCGTGGGTGCGTGGAAGCAACTCGAGCAATATGCGTGCTCCGTTCATCTTTCATCGGTCTTTACACCGTTCCCCTTCCAGTGCGAGCGAAGCCGAAGCTACGAACACGAGCACGTTGCCTCGAACGATGTTTGCAGTGCACGAGCGCGCGCGTGCTCGCCAGGGACCTCGAACCCCTGTGATCGAACGATCGAAGCTCACTCTTGTAGCTTCTGCTGCGCTCTCTGAACATTTCAAGAGAGGAGTCTCTACCGTAATCGAGCTTCAAGCGATAACACGAGCGCGACGCCCGAAAGATTGCTCTCGTTCGTAGCACATCGCGCTCGTGCAGCGGAAGCGAGTTTTTTTTTTTTTTTTTGCGAAAGTGACCTCGAATTCGACTTCCTGATAGTGGGCGTTGAAACGATACTGTGGTTCGGACACCACGCAAAGACGACAACGAGCTTGTTTCGCGTAAGGTACCGAGTCCTTTCGTAGTGAGTTCTGTCGTGAGATCGTACCAGCATTCACACCCCGAAGTGCATGTCGACACAGACGACGTAGCCATGTGTGCTACCGCTTCTCTTCGGTAGTAGAAATGAGATCGCGCGGTTGTTCAAGGCACTGTCCAGATGCCGAGCAATCGCCATTAATGTAGCCTTATGGGCAGTGGCCAAGCCCCCCCCCCCCCCCCCCCCCCCCCCCTCCTCCCTCTCCCCTCTCCTTACTTGCACCCCAAGTCATAGACAAATAATCACCGAAAAAAACAAAAAAAAAAAAAAAAAAACTGGTTATGCCTTTGCCTATGGGTAGGGTGCCATATTTTCTGATAAGTTCCATAAAACCTGAAAAACACTCTTGTGCACTTTTTTTTCTTTTTTTTTTTTTTTCCAAGTCTGATTTATTTGGAAGTCTCAAAATTTGAAGGCCACAAAGAAAAGTCAGCTTTCTATGTATAACTTTGTCCAGAGCACAGGTTCAGCAGTCATCAGGAGAGGCCTTCTCAGGTTCCTTTAAAATCTCATTGTATTTACCAAAGAATGTTCACCGGACAACAGGGCATTGCAATTCTGGGTCATGACAAAAGCCACAGTTTTGATTTCCAGATTGTGCTTCTAAGAGGCAGGTAGGGTTGTGACTTGGATAACCCTGAAAGCTATGAACTTGAATTTCATAGGAGGGAGGGGCGCAGCAGATGCTTCTACCTCACCACTTCAGCCAGTGCAGCCGCAGGTAGAAGCGGTAGAATAGGATGAAAAGAAAACAAGCTTTCCAACAACTACGTACGAGTTTGATGATTTTAATGTGTCTTTTTCAAGTTTTGTCCTGGGACAGTTAGTATTACTAACAGCAGTGGCTCCAATGTAGTGTGGTACACGTGAGTTCTTATCAATCTAGGGCAGGGTTACACCCTCCGGTTAATATATATTTATATTTTCAATCTTGAAAATTTGGAAATCGAACAGAAACAAACTTTAATAAAGTGGAATTTTCAACCAAAAATAAGCTCGGAAAAACACCCGCCGTATTTTGCGAGAAATAAGCTTTGAAAACACAGAATACTGTAGGGCACATTTCGTCGTCTTTAAAGCAGAGCGGTAGTGGTAGCACTTTCATCGGCCAGAGAGCAGGCAGAAGATGCTTCGAAAACAGAAACAGCTGGCAGTCTCGTGACTGGGCTTTTATTCATTCATTTGCTCATTAGAAAGTTGTAGAAAATATAGGGTGTCTGAAGTCGCCAGGCTTGATCTAAGATAGACCATAAAATTCGGCACCTGCACATAGGACCTTGTTTGTCTACCCTCTTGTTCTTGTCCATGTCCTTGTGCTGTTTTAATTTTCAAGCAATCTAAAATTTGCGTCAAATGAGTTTTTCGCAGGTTAGTTTTATCCTGTAAAATTGGAAAGTGTACTTTTTGTAAAAAATAAGGCCAAGAGCTTGTCAGGGTCAACAGCAGTCGGCAAAGGAGGCGACCGTCGACCGTTCGTCGGAAGGTGTAGCCAACCAGCGAAACAAAGCAGACGACACGGAGTCGAAACTGGCGGACAGGAAGAGCACCGTCATTATGCAACCACATTTTTTTTATTGTACTTTTTTACTTCAAGTTTAGCTTATATTGTCCGCATCTATTTTTAAACCAAATGCCATGGTCGTCGCAAGCAATCTCGGTAAGGAGGTGGTGCCTTTTTCTCATTTATATTAACAATCTTCCCTCTTCGATTACCTCAACTATCCGCCTATTCGCAGATGATTGTGTTATTTATAGGAAAATCTTAGACCCGACAGACCATAACGCCCTCCAAAATGACCTTGATGCTATATCTTCCTGGTGCTCAGAATGGCAGATGACCGTTAACCCCGATAAATGTAAACAAATGACCGTTACTACGAATTCAAACAAATCTTACAGCCAATATACATTACTCTTGCAGCAACTTGAATGTGGTTCACTATACAAATACTTGGGAGTTCACATCTCTGAAACTCTCTCATGGAAACAGCATATCAACAACTTAGTCACCAACTCATTTAAATCTTTAGGTTTCCTAAGGCACACCCTTTAACTGGCCCCCACTTCAACAAAACTGCTAGCATATAAAACAATTGTTCTCCCTAAACTAGAATATGCAAGTATCATATGGCATCCAAATCAAAATTATCTTACTTATAAGTTAAAATCTGTCGAAAGTAAAGCAGCCCGGTTCATATGAATTTCGCCTCAAACTAGTGCCTCAGCTCTAAAAACAAATTCGGGTCTCGCGTCATTGTCGACCCAGCGCAAAATTAATGTTTCTTTCATGACTCGTACTACAGTTAACTTGTGTTTTAAAAACACCTATTGTCATTCCGCACATTATATTTCTCCTCGAACCGATAATTCCTGTAAGGTACAGCAATACCAGTCACACTGTTTTGTTTTCACCCTTAATATTATCGATTACAGAATGGAATGACTTGCTAAACGAGATGATTACTAACGCAAATCCCATTGAAATTAAAGCAATGTGCTAGCACCTATGGTAGGAATAGTGCACATACATGCTTATTTCTTGTTTTCATAGTTGCTTTCTGTTTTCCAATATTGAAATTATTGTTTTATACACAGTTACATTCAGTTGAAAATTGCTATTGTGTACGTACAATGTCACTTCTCTTTTGTAATCTGTGTTGGGCTGATTGCAATTATTTTGTTATATCTTTGACTGTGTTTGGAAAATTGTGTGATTATGTTTTTATAAATGCTCGCACTGCCTACCCCCATCATGTAATGCGTCCTCAAAGACGCCCTTGAGGTAAATAAATGAAATTAAATGAAATATGTGCACCAAACGCGCTCTGCAACTCAACTCAGTAGTACGCGTCGCCGTCCGATGTTGACCCTGGCAAGTTATTTGGCCCTATTGTTTTATAGGGAGGGAGCTATGCTTTGTAATTTCACAAGATACACCACTGACTAAAAGTTTAGATTGCTACGTGCAGGCACCGATTTTTTTGACCCATCTTAGAATGAGTCTCGTCTTTTCAGTCACCCTATATAAACGACAGAAGAAACGGGAAAAGTCGGAAACAAATGCAAAAGCTCATTGGTGCCAATAGAAGACCTTTGAAGCGATCCACTGGTGCAAATGAGAAACTGGAGCCCTTAGAAACGGGGTGGACTGTGACCCGTGACCGAGGGCCCGATTGAGTCCCCGGGATGAGAAGCCGGCCCACCCACTGGCCCCGGGACGGTTGCAGGTGCAGCCGGGAGACGGGGTCGTGGTGCCGGGCCGGGGATAGGTCCTCCCCGGTGCCATGCGGAGGCACCGGCAGCTGGTCCTGCTCTCCCTGGCCCTGGCCGTGCTCTCGGTGCCAGCCCTGCTCCTGCTCTACCTCGACTCCAAGGACCAAGGTGAGAAGGCCAATGGTAGAAATGGCTGGCAACTTTTACCTCCAGAAAGTCTTAGAACGCAAGAAATGTGTTTGGAAAACATTAGACGGTTGTTTACGGGAGTGGACAAGGACCTATATTATTGGCTTTAACCCGATATTTCCCCGTATCTACTCCCCAAACATGTTTCTTGGAAACAGGGTTAAACCCGATTTTACCCCGAATTCAGATATTCAATTTTACCATTTTTTGGTTTCCACTCCTCCGAAAATGTTTTTTGAGAAACAAAAAGTTGGTAGGAACTTGCGTGCTGGCTCGAGGCCTTGAAAACAAACCTGGATTCTTTTGGCTTTGGTGGACTGCAGTGACATAAATCGAACCCCAAAATGACACTTTTATGCCCATTGTCAAGTATTCTTTGTCCTTTTTTCTGTTTTAACCAGCGCGTATCCCCAGTCTCGGGTTTACAACTATGCTCAATTTACACCAGCTGGCCTGCTCTTTCACCATTGCTTCCTTTAAAAGCTAAGCTTCAACAGAAACAGCAGGTATTTTGTTCCAGTCTAGCCGATGTGATATTGTTGCGCATTTCAAATGTATGCGTAAGCTGTGACATTGAGAGAATGTTCTCTCAGTTGGAATATTTCCAAAGGCAGCACAAGTCTAGGAGAGAGACAAAGATGCTGCTTGTGCAGAAGACTGTCACCAAAGAGAATTTATGGAATATCAAGAAGCCCAAGTTAGCTCTTATACCATGTTTCAATGCTATTTTATGTACTTTGATTGTGAAAAACAAATCTGTGTACTGGCACTGATAAGTTCTTTTTATCGTTAATTATACTTATATATTGTCACGGGTGGTGACCACAAAACAATAAATAAACGGGAAGAAATAAACGTCTAATGTGGCGAACTTGTGCCAAAAATAAAAGGGTACAAAAGATAATAACAGCGTCGCAGGCGTCGAAGTCGGTGTAACAGCAGAGTCGAACGCTGGGGCGAGACTGAATGCAGATCGCCACGCGGAGACACGTGTGGGCTTCTGGAATATTCGGCGTAGAAGGTTTGGCGTGTAGAACATTCTGACCTCGAACAAGCAACATGGTTCTCGAATTTACCAGAACATTACTTTAGAGAGTCAACAAAAATGCGCCTCCACGGCCAGGAATCGAACCCTGGCTTTCAGCGTGGAAAGCAAGCACGATAACCGTTAGGCCACGCGCGCGCTGCCTACTTGGCCAGCTGCGCACGCTGCAATATCACTAAATATAACCTGAAAAACCCAAACACCAGGACACTTTCTTGAAAGGCGCAATTTCTCCCCGATTACCAGCTTGGAACAAAGCGGCCAATTTTTAGCCCCCACCCCCTTCCTCATTTTTACAAATATAAAACCCAAAAACGAAGGGCCCTTATTTTTATTGATTTCTCCGCTAAATATATTGGGGTAACTCGCGCATAGCTCACAAGACATCAGTTTCGCCGGCATTAAATTTAGCTCGGAAACTGAATTAGTGTATCGGCGTGCGCGAGAGAGTCTCCGTGGAACTTCCATTTTGGAAAACACCGGCGCCTTCGGGCGTGCTGCACGTTTCCGCCATGTTGGAGCAGGGAGATTTGCCATTTTCCCAGCGTGCTCAACATGAATGCCGCCTGTAATATTAATTTAAACTTTTTTTGGAGCCCCCATTGTTTTTTTTCACCTTTGGCCGGTCTTTTGTGGACCTTAACTTTTTTTTAATTGTCTCGAACGTGGCTGCGGCCGGAGTCAATTCCTAGACATTTTAATAAGCCTTAATTCCCGTCATGACTCGAGAATCACCGTCGTCTGCTCTTGCTCGGATTGCGAAAGGGAACCCTCACGCGCAGAATATCGATGCGGCATCACACACTCGTGGCCAGTTGATACATTTATGTCAAGCGGATTAGCTATGGCTGGCATCATTTGCAACTACGGGGTGTCACAAAAGAAAATTTACACAATCTTTTTTGCCGCAAAAATAAACTAGGCACCGCCGAACGCTCATTTTCCACCCAAAGGTAGAGCTAGAGGTCACAACCAGATGCCAAAGTTTCAGCCCGATCTGATAACTTAATCAAAAGTTATAAGTGATTTTCTGAAAAGTTCAATGGGAAAATGGCGGCCGACGGAGTTTTCAAACACATGGGGCTCTATGGCACCAGAAACCGAAAACTATCAAAAATGGGCTTCATTTTCCCATTGAAATTTTCAGAAAATCACTGAAACTTTGGCATCTGGTTGTGACCTCTAGCTCTAGATTTGGGCGGAGAATGAGCGCACGGCGATGTCCAGTTTATTTTTGCGGTAAAAAAGACCGTGTAAATTTCCTTTTGTGACACCCTGCACTAGGAACCCTCTGTGCAGTAAGCACACTCTCCAAGGAGGAGTGCGGTGACTCGCAACAGGAATGGTAGTCAGTATGATTTCTAGGTGACACAGATAGAGTCAACGTTCGGGAATGCTAGCCCTAATCCGTTCGATTAAATATTTGGATACAGTGAAAATTCACTCTCCCTGTACACAGCCACACGCACTTGCAGGAAGAGTATGAACCAGTAATAACTTGAACATGAGCACACACCCGTATGCACAATAAGAAGCTCGTGACAACGGAGGCCATAAATGCTCTAAAAGTACCAGCGCCGCATAGACAAAGTAAAAAGACACGGAGCAGAAACGTTTCTGTTGTCTTGAAGCCGCACTGCGACGACGACGCTGGTGGGCGGATAGGCTTCTTCGTTGTGCTGGTTTGCGGTCGCAGCACATCGCTATAGCGTCGCCACAACCCAGGATAACACTTTGCACGCAAAATTAATTCTCGGCGTGGAGACTGCGAAGGCCATGCCGACGCGCCATGTTCAATGGAGGATTGCACAATTGCACAAAACCGCGACCGGCATGCAGTGCGTGCAGAGAGCAAGTGGACACCCTGGAAAGAAGGTGTCGGCGCCTCTCTCCTTCTATGTCATGCGGTCCGAGGCTACTTGCTGGTACCCACATACAAACGTCTATTGGTCGCAATACATCAATTTTCTCAAAAAATTTAGTGGGCAAACTGAATTGGAGCATAGGTCCCCCGACGTCGTGTCAGAAACATTAATTTTCCCATTAAATTTATCGCGAAGACTGAATTTGTGCATATAGATAGTGCGCCGTCGGGTCACGTAATGTCAATTTCCCCACCAAATTTAGTGGGGGATTCATGGACGGACGGAAAAAATCTTGTTGTTGGTGGTTCCGTTAAAAAGCATTTAATTATTTACTAATATGAGCATGTAATGTAACTTTGTCGTGTCCAAACATAACTGTCACCATAATCATTGTGCTGGTCAAGCGAATGCAAGCAGCCGCTTTTTCTCACACTGGCGCCTCAACGAAGGGGGTTAGAATGAAATCTCTCACTCTTTGCCTCTCAGCTTTGCTGCCTGATATTCCTCACAATGGGGTGAAGGTGTGGGGTAAGGAAAAGGACGACGCTAGAAGAGTGTAAATTTGGAACACCCTTAGCGACTAAAACCTTGTTTGTGTTACTAATATTTCCCGAAACTGGGCTCATTTATGTGCAACTCTGAGGTACTGGAATCAGTTACTGCTAAAGCAGAGCAGAGAAAACCGAGGCCGATGATAACCGAGTGGGTACAAACAGGCGAAACAACAAAGGGAATGATTTCCTTATTTTCTAACAAAATCAATATTGGCAGACATGGGGAAAATTCTCTCGGAAACAACTTGACTGACCCCCAGCACCCAAGATACATAATGTAAAGAGAGGCTTCATAAAAAATTGAAAAATAAAATTACTCGATCAGTACCGCCTATAAGGCCCAACCGATTTAAAGCCGATAAAATTTAAGGTAATGTTGGGTGGAAGGGACCACCAAACATTGTTTTAGAGACACCCAAGGTCCACCAGTAGAGTGCATATGAAACACAGACAGTAAAGTCCCTTGACCCTTTCACTGCCGTTTTTTTTTTTTCCGACTGCCCCTCTCCCCCTGCCGTGTTTTTTTTTTTTTGTATCTTGGTTCTGTGGAAATTTCATGCTAGTAATGCACCACGATGCTTGGCAAGACATGTAAACATGTTTATTCGGGATTATCTTATCCAGATAAAAAAAGTATTTTTGATTACAAATAATTAATGCAACGATTAACAAGATAATTAATTAGCTGCAAATTAGGATGTCCAGCCATTTAAAAAACTTTTTTAGTGTGAAACTCTTCAAAACAAGGCACCACACAAAGTGACACCTGGCAGCTAGAACACACATAGTGAGATTCCCTTCGACCAGCTGGAGGACTAGTTCGAGCCAAAAGTCTGCCACGCTCCTTCTTTTAGCGGACGCTGTGGTTGCACTGTATGGCTGTTTAGGACAGTGGTGTCCAAGAGGTGAAAGAAGTACTTTTTTTACCACTTTATGGACCTTCTCGTGACTGTACTGGTCGCGGTCACAAACATATCTACTTTGTTCACCGCTCCATGCACAAGTTGTACTCGGCGACGCACCGGGGTATCTTTTTGCTCTCACCAGTGGTCCTGTCCACCATGCCACCCTTAGGCTTCGTCGTGAGCACGCGCACTTCACGTTTGACCTTCAAACGGACGAAGAAAAGCCGGTTATTGCACATGTCATTGGTTTCCCCTTCCTGCTGTTGGTAGTCTTGGTGTGGGACACCTTTCCTGTCTTTCCGCACTGTACCGCAGGTGTGGGTCTTGTTTTCGAGAAGGAACGGGGCCGTACTGGTGTACCAGTTATCGACCCAGAGGACGTGCCCCTTGTCCAGGTGCACATCGCGATACTTGTTAACGCGAACATGACATTAGCGCATTTGCGCATTTTACTTCTAAATAGTATTAGCGAGCACGAAATTTTATCGCTTACATTATGGAACTAAATGAGCTCTTTCTGTAGCCATAATAACTTGGATGACATTTTTTTCAAAGAGAAAAACTGGAAAAGCCAGCGATCGCTTGTTCGCGCTAAATGTGTCGTGCTCTGTGCCTGTCCAACAAAGTAAGAATGATCGAGGCTCTCTATCCCATCTCGGGGTTGTTGATTTGAGTTGATAAGCCGGCGTAGATCACAATGTCCAGCACTAATCCTGTCTTTACGTCGCAGGGTAGGAATGATTTCAGGCCGGAGCTGCTTCGTTCGGGCGGGATATATTGTTTGAATGACATCCGCCCTTTGAGAAGCAGCAGGCTCGTCAATGCGAAGATCCTGGATGGGAGATAGGGCCCCTTGAAAGATTTTCGAAGCGGCAAGGGGACCGAGCGCACCTTGTGCAGCCTGTCACCATAAATCTGATGTTCATTATCGGAGAAATAAAAAAACCTCGAGATGGAGAAGGAAGTGGTTGCGACTTATCAACTTTGAGAATACGGGTCTGCTCAAGAGGGGATCCATGGACCAATCCTCGCAATGGTGCCCTTTCTTGCACGTGCCATGAGCCTTACGACAGCAAGAAATACGTAGAACTCGCGTGGAGTCGCATCTTTTTGCTGGTGTGTACGGGATCCGGCCGCCGGCGTCGGCTTGGCAACTACTTGGTGCTGGAAAATGTATGTCTGCTCCACAATCGCGTCCACAATATCGGATGTACAAAAAACTTCAAAATATCTCGAGCTCACTGGACACCAATCTGATGCCATTGCAGATCCCTGCAGATGATGGGTCAAAAGCGAGCTCCTGAGGCTTGAATTCTTCCAACAGCCATTCCACTCGTCGCATTTCCTCTTCTTGCTCTGATTCTTCGGTGAGAGGGGTTTTTCTTCGCTGTCGTCGCTCGACAGGTCTTTTATCTGAGCTCCTTCATCATTATCACTTTCATCTGAGTCCGAGTTCATCGACAGTTTGTGAGTCTCTACGCCCATCAAAGCGTGGACGCACGTGGCACGCTGACTCACCATGGCTCCTGGCTGCGCTGCTGAGACGAAGACGAAGCGACGTGGGTGGTACAAACATGTGCTCCGGGCTGTTGTCTAAAATTTAACCTACAAGTCCTGCAAGTTTATGTGACCTCTCCATAGATGGCGGGATGGACCGCATTATGTTTTTCACACGAGTTGTCTCGGGAGTGAATTTAAAAAGCAACATGAGTATACTCGGGAGTAGAAGGGGGTGTGCGTGGGAGGTCTCCCGAGTTATCTCAGTAGTGGCAATTAAAGGGTAAACCAGGGTGTCTAGTGACCGGGTAAACCAGGAATCGTCAGGGAAATTTTAATTACCGGGAAAAATCGGGGAATCGTCAGGTATATTGTCAAAAAGCGAGCCCAGTCGGGGAAAATGAGCCAGAAACGCCATTGTGTGCCCTGAACAAAGACTCGAGGAATTGGGGGCAGAAAAATAGTCAATAAATTCTGCTTCGAGCGGAGCAAGGGCCCTGCTCACCAGATGTAGTGTGCACTGCCCGATGCAAAGGGAACGGCCGACAAATCCAGTCCAAGCCTTGAATTGGAGTGAGGGTGCGACACTCGGCTAGATACAATTAGAGATACTAGATTGAGTAACAAATGGGAAAGCCGCAGATCCCAGACCAAGCATTAAACCGAAAGTATCCGAAAGTGTGCATCTGGCAGCTATACTGCAATTCGGTTATTGACGTGTGTGGTTGAGCGATGCGTTTTCATCATGTTTCCGGAGGTGGCCTCTTCATTGAAGATGTCGGCAGCAAGAAAGTGCTAATTTCATCCAGACTGGACGGACCTGACTATTTCGGAATTTGCAAGTTGGATTGAGCCCATGCAAAATGATGCTCACAGTGCTTAATGCTCAGTGCCTAGTGTTGTAATGGTCTCATATATTTAACCGCTTCTGCAGTGGTCAGGGAATTTCACCTGAAAAAGTCGGGGAAAACCTGAAAAAGTCGGGAAATTTCAAAATAATAATTTACTAGACTCTCTGGTAAAGGGTACCCACCCAAAAAGAAGAGATAAATGGGGAAAAATATTAGGTAGGCTATCTTTGAAGATGACACAGCACGGTTATTACCGCAACAGTTTAATTAATTGGTCTGGCACCTAAACGTCTGTTTGGGCTAGAACTTAATCAACATCGAGTGTCCAAGACGTGCCTGACAGCCATTACAATCGTCAAATAAAGCTTCCAGATTGCCCTCATTGTCCCTTTAAATGCTGGCCGATTTAATTTCAAATTGTACAGGAAAAAGAGGTCATGTCTCTAAAACTTGTGAAATAAATACATCTGCTGGGCAAACTCTTCACTAAAACAAAATTGTAAAAAAATATTTTGTTATATTTTTAGTTTTTGAGCTTTAGACTTCTGAAGGACCAAAGGCAGATTTGGGGATTTGGACGATTGTCACAGGTGGCATATTTGAGAGCTACACCAGGCTTAGATATCTTCCGCGCAACAAGGATATCTTTTGTGTGGCTTTCTAAACTACATTGAGAGTGCAACATGTTAAAAGAAAATGGGGTTGTGTTTATTTATTTTTTTTTGTGAAAAATATTGAACCTGGCCTTTTTGATATAATTTACCAGGTTTGCATGATGGCAACCCTCATAACATTCAATTTTATGACATAAATTATGTATCAAATGAAAGCTTGAAGAAATACCTATTCAGAAGCACAATATCGTTATACTAAAAAGTTATCTTGGCAAGAAACACCCCCAAAAAAAAAGACTGTAATCCAAAATTTTACTTAATTTTTTTTTAAAAAGGCCATTTTTAAATGTTTTTTTTCTTTTTTTATATGGAGAGCTTTTGTGGTTTAAAACATGTAATAAAAATGGGATGTAATGTATAGTTTGAACATATAGATCTATACTTTCGAAAACACCATATATTATTTGAAGCTCTATTTTAAGATGCAAAGCAATGTTGTATCCATTTGTTTTTGCCACATTGTTATTTGTTGGCACCTACTCATTGTGTTGGTTGGCTTTAATTTAACAAATAATTAGGCATTTTATGTACAATATATGAACCAACAGTTCATAAATATTACCCTCTGAAAGTCTTGCCTGGGATACTGTGGCATTGGTTCAGTAAATGAACAATTCCATGGCACATTCCTTTTTATATTTCATTGTAAAAATTAATAAGCTTCCTTTTTAGTCCTGTTATGAAACAATGGACTAACTAAAACGAAAGTTGCAGTGAAAAATTAAAATCTAGAAGAATTAATTCAAAGTGTCCCAATGATTGTCTTTTTATTTAGCACCGGGGCAGATAAAATACCCAAGGACAAGTGAACAAGTTAAGTATTCAGTAGAAACAATGTGGAAATACCCCTTATATGCTTGTGGCCCTGAACATTCCCTTTTACAAATTCACTTTTCTTTTTGCAAAAAACCACATATGGGCCATATTTAGCCTAGCTCATCACCTGCCTAGGCAGAAACTGTGAAATCCGCAACGGTGAGATCCAAACTTCCTGCTTGTGTCTTTTCATCTTGCTGTGGCACTTTGTGATGGGACTTAACTGAACGAGTACTAAAATGATTTCCTGGAATTAAAATTTGCTCCGACTGCTCATTCTTGGTACCTTGTAGCATTCACGAGTGCAATCGTCTTGACTGTGGCATTCTCAGTTTATCCATGTTCATTTCAGTTTTACAAGATGCGCGTTCGAAGTACGGCTATAATCTTTTAGAACGCAGCTCTTAGGGGCCCGTTCCCGGCTTGAGCGGCGTCGCCGTCACCGTCGGCGTAACCAAGGTCATCCCAAGGTCACGTGACCCCTCCCAAGGGTCACATGACACCCAAGGTCACGTGACTCCCCAAGGTCACGTGACCCCTCCCCCAGGGTCACGTGACCCCCAAGGTCACGTGACCCCCAAAGTCACGTGGCTCCCCAAGTCACGTGACCCCTGATGACGTCATCAGTGACGCCACTGATGACGTCACCGGCATTCGCATCGTCAGCGTCATCATCAATGATGACGTCATCAGTGACGTCACTGATGACGTCACCGGCATCCGCATCGTCATCGTCATCATCACCATCCGCATTGTTATCGTCACCATCGCTGATGACGTCATCAGGGACGTCACTGATGACGTCACCGGCATCCGCATCGTCATCATTACTGATGACGTCACCGGCATCGTCATTGTCATCATCACTGATGACGTCATCAGTGACGTCACTGATGACGTCATCGGTATCCGCATCGTCATCGTTACTGATGGCGTCATCGGCATCGTCATCGTCACGTGACCCCCTAGGTCACGTGACCCCCACCCAAGGTCACTTGACCCCCCCAGTACCCTTCTCTCCTCCTCCTCAAGAGCTGCGCTCTAATTCGGCGTTACAGGGAGTTGTAAACGGCTTTCACTTTTTTTTATTCTCGTTTTTTAGGCATATATTGTTTATATTTTTGTATAACATGTGCTCACATTATGTAACCTGGTCTCCTAATAAATAAATAAAAAAATGGGATGGCCAATTTGTGAACTTGCTGTTTCCTTTTTGTCATCAGGAGAAGACAGTGTACTGGGACTGACCAAGAGGGAAGCTCTGTTGGCCGAAAGACTCCGGGAAGTGGAGCAGCAGAACCAGCTACTCAGGAAGCAGCTCAGGTGAGTTGGCATTCTTACTGGTAGGGACCCTTTCCATTGGGTGTCATCTAGTTCCACCTAGCTAGTGTGGCCCAGATTCTTTCAGCAACGTTGAACCACTAAGTCAAAGGGCAAAATATTTGATTTCTTCGATATATGTGAACCTCATATACAGGGTGTCCCTGATAGCTTGCACCAAACTTCACAAAAAAACGGAGCACTCTGCAAGGGCAAAACCAACTGTGTGCTGTTCAAAAGGGAAAGTGCACAATCTTTTTTAGTGTTCCACTATAAAAGCAGAGGTGTGCATCGGAACGTTGTAGAGCCCATTGAGAAATACCCAATGAAGGTGTTTCCTACATGATACACTTTGTGCGTGTCTTTATTTTAACCTAAAAAGAACTCCACTAAATATTAAAGAAAGAAAAGACCACTTCGCAACATGCCTGCACATCTAAGCACGTGGCGCTTGCAGCGCTGTTAGGTGTGCTCTGAAAAAACTAAGTCCACCTTATCACTGGCACACTGTTTGAGACTGCCCCCCCCGCTCCCAGAAATCCAGCCGACCCTTTATTTATTTATTTATTCAGTTACCTCGCAGTGCCTAAGAAGGCATTATTCCTAGGGAGGGACGCAAATACATCTACAAATGTAAAAAAAGAAGAAGTCACGATAACATGAGCGTGCAAAACAGCTTTGTAGTAACTACGCGGTTTTCAGTTGAACGGCGGCATGAGCATGAAAACGCTCGCATTGGTTTAGGTCAACATTTAAGATATTTTCCAAAAACAAAGCTGCAGATGTCTTCTGCTAGAGAGTTCCAGTTAATCATTGTAGATGAAAAAAAAAGATGTTTTAAAGGGATACTTCAACGAAATTTGAAATATTCCCGTCGTGTTCAAAAATAGGCTGAATATGATCCACAATATCCGTAAATGACAATCGCACGTTTGTATTTTGAGCCTGGTGGCTGTATTTTTCGTTATAAACGGCCCACTCTGGCAAGCGCTCGGAGAAGGCCCAGCGGAGACCACGTGACATCCAACGCAATCGTGACGTGGGTCGTCTCAAGACGAGCAAAGCTACGGCGAGGCCGACATTTAGAGGAAGGCCTAGTCGTTCCAGCCACCGAAGCGGCTGCTTTTGTGTGAATTTTGAGGGACGGGTTAATCTTCTATAATCTTCTAGGGGGACAATAGCGACTTCTGCGACACACAAAAGGCATTCTCGGGAAGAGGGGAGTTCCTCCTGCCCCTCTTCTCTCGTCGTGGCCGGAGACGAGACAACCTCCGTCACTAGCTGTCAAGGTTCCTAGACGGGCATTACAAGCGAGGCGTTAGCGACATCCACCAGGTGCTCTTTGCTAATCGTTTAATTTGTTTCAAAATACCTTTTCGCGACTTTTTTAACAAGATATTGGTATTTTCAATGTGATGCTGCTCCTTTGAACACATATAGACCAAAAAATGAGCGCCAAAATTTCGTTGTAGTATCCCTTTAAATGCATGCATTCTATTCTTTTACTCCCTTTACTTGAGTGATCTCTCCTTCCTGATGTGAAGTGGGGAGGCAGCGTATAGTTAGCTGTATATATGCTGAGGTAATTACGAAAGATGCTGCGATACAATTTCAATCACATAGACCTCCTCCTGTGTATATGTAATGTACGCATGCATTTTGACCCCCTCACCCCCTCTACAGCCAAAGTCATAGACAACCCAGCCACTTCAAACCCCCCCATCTGAAAAAAAATTGACGGCTACGCCAGTGGGGAGGTGGATTTTGCTCCTTCAGAGTCCGTCTGAAAGCGCTGCAAGCACGACTAATAGGTGCATTGTCACGTGGTCTTTTTTTAGTATTTTGCGGGCTTTCTTTTTAGGCTAATAAAAAGAAGCGTGCAAAGTGTATCATGTATCAAACACCTTAACTGGATGTTTCTCAATGTGCTCTGCAACTTTCCAATTCACACTTTGGCTCTTAAACAAGTAATTAAAAAAATGAGCTAGTTAGTCTTACTTATTTAAATACCTAGGTGCAATAAAAAAAAGCTGCACACTTTCCTAAAGTGCTTTTCAACAACATAGAGCTGCAGTGATGCGATTGCTGTGCCAATTTCGCCAAACTGCTCCAAGTGGCTAACCCTGCTACATCCTGCTACATTTTGCCAAAATATGGGTAATCTGTGCCGAGCCTGCGGCAAAAAAACACTTTTGGTCGCCTTTCAAGACCGAAAATAAAATGAGTACAGTAATTGAGCACGCAAGTGTTATGTGGCGCTAGCAGCCGCCCGACACAAAGTCCCCTGCATCGGTTGTCCATTCGGTCTTGCATGATTTTCCCACCGTCTCGGTTTCGCACTCTCGTCGTCTCGTGGGTCTCGTCTCGTGTCGTTTTTTTTTAAAATATTTTGAGCGATAGACGCGGGCGTGTGTGGACGCTCCAACGCTAGCGTGCCAGGTACCAGCAATGCCGTCATGCTGTGAAACGAAACCACGTTTTTGTGCGGCGGGAGATTTTTTTAGCTCAAGCCCTCGCTCCTGAAAGCAATGACCGTGGGAAACCTATATTTGGTCCCTGCCTTCCAATCACCGTGGTCGCGCGACGTCGGGTGTTGCCGTCCCCATGTCGCTGCTGATATAACGCATTCTAAAATGATACAAAATACCTCCGTTTGTTCATCAACATTCCTGTTCATGTTTAAATCATACGTTACTACAAAAATTCCTCTTTAACTCAGACTGCTGTGTTGAAGTATTGATTACCTGGGTTTCTCTCCGTGGGCTTTCTTTCGAATGGAACCCCGGTACACGAAAAATCTGCCACGAAAGAAAGTTAGCGAAGAGAAGTGAGCTAAAGCAAAGAAGGCAACGTCTGCACGCTGAACCCGCACAGTGCGCTTGTTTGTCTCAAGTTCAGTCGTTGCACAAAGCGCTCCAAGAACTTTGTGACCCTGGCTCGCCATGTCTTCCATCGATGCACTCATGGTTCTTTTTATTATTTTTTTTTTTGTGTGTGTATTTAGCTTGTACTTTGTTTGTCGGCCTGGCAAGCACGCGTTACTAGACTGTTTTCTGTCGTATGCTCGACAATTACATTTTGTATACAATTTGGAAATCAGTCGGCGACGAAGCGGAGTGGCATGGTTTCGGTTTCGATCGAACAGCCGTTGTTTCTGCTCGTGCGGCGAAGCACGCGCAACTGCAAACCTGCAGAAGTTGCCCTCACGTGCATGCGAACATGATTGTACGACAGAGGCACCAGCTGGGACGCTTGGAATTGATTGTTTTACGTTTGCTTACTTTTTACGAAAATCTGGCACGTCAGAAACAAGTAAAACGGTGGCAAGCGATTTTTTGGAATTGCTCGGCAACTCCTACAGCACTGTACGCTTGATGTCTCAGCACTAAAAACACAACCAGCGAGTTCCATCACAACATGTCATGTCAGAACAGAACACAACATAAAGTGCCCTTCGTTTGTGCAGCGCTTAAAACATTTTTTTTTCTAAGAGCATATGTTTCAAAAACCACTTTTGCTGCTCCAAAGCACTGTTTTGGCTGCTCCAAAATGGCTTAAGCCAATCACATCACTGGAGTTAGTTTAACTCTCCCAGAGCGCTCCGTTTTTTTGTAGAGTTTGGTGCAAGTTATCTGGGGTGCCCTGTACATCACGGTTGCTCCACCAAATGAAGAGTTATAACTCAAATCCCTAAATGTGCTGGCCAGGATTGATGTTGCCAGTTGTGACTGACTTTTGCATACATGCATAATGGGAAACACTGAATCCACTTGGAGAAATACGTAGAATGCAAAACTAACGGGCTATGGCTCTATTCATGGGTGAACAAATAGATGGGAAGATCAACGTGGTGAACCCTTTGAATCGGGCGTCGGCTAGCGCCGCCCAACCAGTGTGGTCCTAATTTCGAGCGCATAAAATATCCCCTAAACCCGTTTTCTCTGACGATGGCTGCGGACAGAAGTTATCTGCTTTCTTTAGTTAAGGAATTAGGGGCCACACGAGTGGCGAAACGAGGGTCAAGCAGAGTGACCCACATGCGATTCGCTTGACAAAAGGGCTGCGACCCAGTGGTCCGAGTTTTCGATGTGACGGTTAATTCAACGCACATATCCTCGTTCGTGCGCCAACACTTGGCTCTGACGTCACGCCTGTGCGGTGACGCTGTTGTCTCAACGGGGCGTCTGCAGAAGCTTCACCTGACGCAAATCAGGTTTCTGTGCCCGCGCAGTGCCCACACCTGGTGTGGGCAAACGTGGGCTTGTTTATAAACAGTCTGTTGGTCTATAAAGCCGAGTCATGTTTTAGAACTCTGAGAAGCTACCATGGAAGTGGCCAGCTTGTGGCCTGAACTAATATTTTGGTCGACGACCTCGCGGCAGGCGACCCGTCCAGCGTGTTGGATGTAGGAGAGAAAATAAGTTGCATTCTTGTTACGCACGCAACATTGGTCAAACCATTAATCCATCTAGCAACTCTGTTCGAGTCATTGAGGTCGCGGAAAAAATGAATCGGTATTCGCTTGTAGGACCATTGGCTCGGTTGCTTTTAATTTGGTGTTCTCCCAGGAAACCAGAGGATGTGTTGAAAGACCCGCGTTATGTGGGTTCTCAAACTGGGTTCCCCAGAGTGCCCTCGTAAGTTCCCTCCAAATTTCCTCGACTGTCCCTGCACCTAAGTGAAGTGTTCTAACGGTTTAATCAGTCTCTTAAAAAATTTATCCTTTGCTTGCGATGGGCCATACGAAAAAAGAAAACACCACACACAAAAAGACTACAATCCCACTGCTGGACCTGAAACTGTTTAACCCCTTTAAGTGCCTCGGACGAGCTGAGCTCGTCGGCCATTTTTTGGCTAAAATTGTCATGGACGAGCTCAGCTCGTCCAGTGGTTTTTTCGGTAGCCCTCAATTCCACGGACGAGCAAAGCTTGTCCGTGTAGATTTGCGACGCTGATCATAGATGGCAGCACTCGTATTACTTGGCAAATATTTTTTTCGCCTC